TGCTTCGTTGTTGTTGTTGTGGCTGGCATTGTGACTGGCCAAAGATTTGTGGGCCAAAGCCAAAGCCAAAAACAAAATAAAACACTGGCAGACAAACGGTTCGGCATGGCTCGGTCCGGTCGGAACGGTGCTGCATGCCCGCTGCCTGTCGCTTTTAATCTAGCAAAGCAATCGTTGAATGCCACTAAACTTTTCACCACAACTTATATCAATTGTCGTCCAATGTACGACGTCAACGCGCCTCTGATATATTGGATCTAAAAGTGATCGTAATCGCAAAGCGGAGCAAGCCAGGACCAGACCAACTGTCTGAAACTCTGCTCTGCCTGAGCCTGAGCCACAGCTCCAGCTGCAGCTCCAATTCTGACTCTCGACTCTGGGGCCTATGTCCGTCTGTGTGTGCCAACAGTTAAGGGACCAATTTGTCCTCGACGGCGGCTATCACAAATTTCAACATGATCGCGACTGCATCGCGCCGCACCGTGGCATTCGCATTACACTAGGCCAACCTTCATGGAAATAGACGGGGGAATTTTCCAAGGAATTTCAATGGCATTTTTATCGATTTTTAAAGAACTTATCAATAGAGCTCGCATGTCGCATGGAAACTATGGCAATAAAGGGAATTTTATTTTCTTTTTTGTTTTGTATTGAATTTTCTATGAATTAGAAACTAAACTAGATATATTGAATCTTATTTAATTTCATTGAAATATACTTTTATAGAGAGACAATTTTTCATCATTAAATGAAAATTATTATTAGTTTAATGTATATTTATCTATATATTTTTTGTAAAATTGCAATATATTTTGATTTGAATAAATATAAATTTTTTATAATATATTTAAGGCTGCTTTTTAGGCTTTTAATGTAATGAATATATAAGATATTTTTTAGGTATAACATTCAGTGGAAACATTTTTTAAATTATTTAATAATATAAATAAAAACATAAAATCATTTTTATATTTATTTTATCATAAATAAATTATTTTGCAAAAATTTATATATATTTAATATTAAATAAAACCTTAAACAAACCTTTGAAACCAGTTTACTTGATATCTAAATTAAAATAACTCAAATTGATATTATGACATATTTATAAGAGCATTTGTTTTAATGCGTTTTGAAAACATGAACTTCCAATTCAATTTAAATACAGATTTATGCACATATATACTTTATTGTATTATGTTATCAATTTTTGTTTCCTTTTGCTGTGTCTTTTACCTTTTGCAACTTTACTTTGTTGTCGCATTCGCGAATCGATTTTATTTTCAATTTGTATGAGCAGATTGATTTTGTATGGATTTGATAAATATATATATAGAGTATATTATTGACAAAACTGTCTTGATATAACATTCAAATGCAATTTTTAATCTAGTTTCTAAAGGCAAAAAGATTGATGATTGTTATTAAATGCAGACATTGTCTAGCAGAACGATCAAAAAAGTATTTTTATTTATTTTTATTATTATTTTTGTACTTTTGATTGGTGAGATAATATATAAATTACTAAAATTTATTTAACTTATTTTTATTTATTTATTTATTTAATTTTCAATTAATTTATTTGTGAATCTGCAAGATATGTCAATATGATATCTGCGACTCTATATATATATAATTTATAAGCTGTAGCTGCCTGTTAAATATCTGTTTAACAAAAGTGTAATTTTAGCTTGCGCAACGCTGTTGCACAGTGTAGCTCGACGGCTGTCCCTGACCCAGCTCTGCGCTAGCCGAGTAAGGTAAGCCGCAGCTGGCAATCCGTTTGTCCGGCTGTCCGGTGGTTGCCTTCTGATCCGCCTTCCGAGTTTGCATTAATTTATGAAGTGATGATGACAAGTGGGATAACGGGGTCATTTCGCGCTTAATGTCGCCAACACGTAAAATGATTTGCATCGAAGCGAATCCCAATGCCCAATGCCGCGTAACTTTAGAGCCTGTCGCAAGGCTGACGTAGACTAGGGATTGTGCCTGGCCTCCTCCTGCTACCCAGCTGCAGAGATCCTCAGCGAGAACTTATCGCTGCCGCCCGATCATAACAACACATTTTAAAGGGCTTAAGAGGCGGCGGTCGACGAGGCGTCTTTGTTGCTGTTCCTGTTGCTGTCGCTGCTGCCGCTGCTGCTGCTGCTGCTGCTGCTCTTGTTGTTGTTGTCGGTTGCAGGCGAAGCTGACATAAGCGGACCGCAAACGTGACAGCTCACTTCATTCAGCTGACAGTTTGGGGGCTTTCTACTTATAGCTGGGGAGTTGTCTCTGGGCAATTGCTTCAATATTATTCCTAATTTGGCACTTAAGTGCGTCGATCGTTCGCTGCAATGGGATCCACCGAATGGGCATCTTATTTATATTCTTTATTTCTGTATATCTTTGCTGTTGGTTTCTTTCTGTTTTTGTCTTTTTGGTTAGCTGTGGTCTGCCGGTCTTTGCGCCGTGTGCGTTGACATAAATCAAGCGACTTCCAACTTTTATCACGATCTCCTAAATAAGGCGATGCGGCTCTGAAATCCGCTTCATACATTACACGCCGCCGTCGCAATCGCTAAGTAAGCTATCATCAGGCAACGTTCCCAACCAGGCGACTCGCTCTGTCACAGTGGGCCAACGAGTGTCAACCGGGGCCCAGCAGCCCAGTCGGATGTGGACTGGTCTGGTCTGGTCAGCCCGGTCAGCAGCAGATCCTCTCAGTTCTCTGCTGCTGCCGCTGCTGTTGTTGCTGCCTCGTAAAATGCGTGTGCGCTCCGCGCGCGCCTTTTAATGACAGTTTGAAGTTGCGGTCAACGCTGCAGTTGCTTTACCTTTGCCCTAGCGCTGGATCATATGGCTATAGCAGCATCTTTGTTACCACCACAAAGTTGCGGCTAGAGCGTAAGTGGCTTATGGGCAACAACTAACTGATCTATGATCTACTTAACAGGTGTGACACCTGTCAGCTAAATAGTTGTCAATTTGTTGTTAGACAGAGTCTGTGTATTGAGAGTATAGAGGGATGAGTCTCATATTTTGAAGAAGTTTCTTAAATTAATTCTCTGCTATCAGGTTTTCTTATACATAAAATGTTCATGGATACTCCCAGCCTCACATGCAACGCGTCATATATTTTTCACTTATAAATTATTTATAAAGTTGCAGTAGTCCAAGCTCCTAGCACTCATGCAAGCTCTCCGTTTTAGCCTTCTAAAATATGGTCAAAAGTATATTTCATTTCATTTTCATTCACAATAATTAATAATCAAAACATGTGTGATTTAATTTATATATTTGATAATATATGTAATGAATTATTTCATAGCCATTTTTGCTGCAGGAATATGTCATAAAAATTCATAAAAAACAAACAAATTCATATTTCGAGAAATATATGTAAATGGTATTTCTTCACAAATCTATAAAATTCTTTTAAATTTAGAACTAAATATAGAAATAAAATATAATGCCTATGGATATATTTATTTATATATTTAATATTTTCAATCGATATAATTTATATAATTTATTTAAAATATTTTTGATATTTTTTATTGAATTTTCCTTATATAAAATTTATCAGATATAACTTTCTAAAAAATTGGAGACTTTTGTTCTTTTAGTTTGCAAATCACAACAACTAAACGCTGTTATTTTAATATATATTTAATTTAAAGGAAATAAAAACCAAATATTCTTTGGGCTTTCTTGCCAATCATACAACAAATGCATAATTATATTAACGGCTTTGAGATCAGCTCATGTTGCCCTTCAGAAAAGTGTATTTGGTGTTTCGTGGTGTGAAAATTTGAGTTTTCTTGCTTGTTTTCCGCTGTTTGCTGGCCGCTGTGGCGGATTGTTCACTGAGTTTTAGCAAATGCGATTAAAATGTCAGAGAGAGAGAGAGAGGGAGACTTTGGCGACGGCTGCGTGTGAAGCAAATGTGGCACAAATGTTGTTGGCCGTCTGTCAACGAGCCTTGAAGGCGCAGACTCTAGGCATGTTAGGCCACCACCGTTCCACCCGTTCCACCCGTTACCCCGCTGAACAGTGTAAATTGTAAATGTCTGGGCCGGCGGCAAGCCTTGCATGTTGCGCTGTGTGCGAGGACCAGAGGCTCAGCCAGAGGCTCTTTGCATAATGATGACATTCCGCTGCGTATTTGATTAAGAATTTTGACAGGCGACATAGTGTCGCTTTGATGGCCACCCAGGCCAGCCATATCCAATGTCAGTGTCCCGAGTCTCTCTTGTCGTTTTAATCAACAGCGCTGATCAATAACAATCAACATGTTTCGCTGATAATTTCGCCCAGACAACAGACTCTCAGATCCTGCTGCCTCTCACTGCCTTCTCTCTCGCGTGTTTGTAGGTGACGTTTTTTGTCTTCTTCTTCTTTGAGTCATTTGCGGTGCATTCTTTTTAATGGCTTGATTGATGGCTGGCAGCTTTACTGATCGGCCTGCCTTGAATTTGTCAGCAAATTTGTCAGCCACAGGAGGACGCCAAGCCAGAGTTTGACACAGCGCTAACTGGTTTTTCTGTTTTTTTTTTTTTTGGGAAGTTTTTGAATCACTGGCCAAAGCATTTTCGCGGAATGCGGCGAAAGTGAGTTGATGACGAGCTGGCAAGCCAGCTGGAAAGTTGTTCCAGCTCACTGGGAAATTTGGCCACTAGAACTGAGCAGGAAAATTATTCAAGCAGCGTGCGTAATTAAGCACAAACGAGCTTAAGCAATTGCAAGTCTTTAGTTGTGGTAGCTGGGATGGAAAGATAGACAAACTGACAAATGGACTCGATGCATAGTTGGCATGGACTTTTCATTTTGTTAACTATAACTTAAACTTGACCTTGTACTAAGACCTTAGCTAATAAGCTATTCATTTTTTAAAATCAGTTTTACAGTTTTTGATTAGTTTCAGCTACGTTTAAGCTACATTAATTTTTAAAGCGTAAATTAATTGTAAGCGGCTTAATGTCGTCAAGCTAAACTTATTTTTCGATCAGTTCAGCATCAGTTTTTCATCGTTCTCGTTGATTTGAAGATCGAAAATGAAGATTTTAGCTACGATATTTGTTATTTTTGTATGTTTCCTAGTTTGCGTTAATTCACTCTTTGATAGTAAGTATATTCTGACAAATCGCCTCGATTGTAACATATTCAGATCAAGTAAAGTGTTCTAGTGCGCTGCTTTAAGAGACCGAGCCCAAATAACAAAAGATGCCACATTAGAGCCATAACGCAGTGGAATTACGAAGTGGTTGCCAACATGTGCTATCCGTACGAATGGAACAGATGTAAGGTGAATGGTACCGAAAACCGTTTCCCAAGTCAAGAGGCGTGCTGGAGCATGTGCGGCATGTATACCACAACAAGACAGCCAGACAAATATCATTGATCCGCTCTGGACATAGTTTAGCTTAGAATATATACTAAGCACTCGCAAAGAACTGCTCTTTCAATAATTTCAGCTCACTGGGAAATTTGGCCACTAGAACTGAGCAGGAAAATTATTCAAGCAGCGTGCGTAATTAAACACAAACGAGCTTAAGCAATTGCAAGTCTTTAGTTGTGGTCGGGGGGATGGAAGAATAGACATAGACATAGACATAGACATAGACATAGACATAGACATAGACATAGACATAGGCATAGACATAGTTGGCAAGGACTTTTCATATTATTAACTACAACTTGAACTTGAACTTGTAGTAAGGCAACTACCTTAGCTAATAAGCAAATAATTTTTTTTTAATCAATTTCACAGTTTTTGATTAGTTTCAGCTACGCCAAAGTACATAAATTTTTTAAGCGTTAATTAATTGTAAGCGGCTTAACGTCGTCAAGCGAAACTTATTTTTTTCGATCAGTTCAGCTTCAGTTTCTCATCGTTCTCGCTGATTGAAGATCGGAAATGAAGATTTCATCTAGGATTTTTGTTATTTTTGTATGTTGCCTTGTTTACATTGCTTCAGCCTCTGATTGTAAGTATATGCTGACAAATCGCCTCGATTGTAACATAGTCAGATCAAGTAAAGTGTTCTAGTGCGCTGCTTTAAGAAACCGAGCCCAAATGACAAAAAATGCCACATTAAATCCTTAACGCAGTGGCGTTACGATGCGACTGCCGGCATGTGCTTTTCGTTCGATTGGAACAGATGTAAGCTGAATGGTACCGAAAACCGTTTTACAACTAAGGAAGACTGCTGGGAAAGGTGCGGCATGTAATTCAAATGAATACTACAATAAATATATGCTTGATCCGCACTGGAAATAGTTGAGCCGAGAAGATATCCTAAGCTCTCTAAGCAAAGAACTGCTCTTTCAATAAATTCAGCTCGAGAAAGAGATCGATCATAATCATAAAAGTTATTTTCTTATTTTGTGATCTTTAATACTAATCGCAACTATATCGTTAGCTGAATTGACGCAGTTGCTAATGCTTGTCCTTGGCGACCACACATTATACTAACCATAGCCTGGGCTCAGAATTGAGCTGAACTACGCCCACAACAGTTCCGAAGAGATCAGTGGAGATCATGTCGACGGAGCATTGCCAAATCTGGACAAGGCCAAAGATAATTTGCAACAATTTGCGTCGCCCAAAAAAATCGAGCAGCGCGCAAAAGGCGAACGCAAAATGTTGTTTAATAATTTAATTTGCCACAATTTAACAACGTTTATCACAATCAAGAGCCATAGAAAGTCAGAGAGGGAGAGAGAGACTGTCTATGGGGGGGCAAATATGCGTCTAAGCATGATGACGATGACGAGTCAGAAAACTGAAGCCGAAGCTGAAACTGAAACTGAAACCGAAAACGAAACGCGATGGGATTGAAAAGTCGGATTACCACGCAGATAAACGGCTACCTAAGTGAACGGCATGCAGGAACGTGATCAGCCCAATTTTAACGCCCATCCAAAATTGACGATGCTACCAGAAAGACAAAGAGAGAGAGAGAGAGCGAGAGAGAGAGAGATGAGAGTAGAAGCTTCCAACTCGATCCATTTCTACGAAATGTGGTGGGCGCAGAGTCCGTCATTTGGTCAGCGTGCGAGTGCAGCCTATTATTAAATTGTCAAAAGGTCGAGAAATATATATGCAGTAAGCAGCATGTGTGTGCCTGTGAGTGTGTGTGTGTTGCCCAACGATTTGTGAACCCTTGCCAGGGTCAGTCCAGGCCTGGCAACGTCTGCCGTAGCCAACTCCACCTCCAACGTTTGCTCGTCTACGACGACGCGCGTATCAGAAGCAAATCGAGCTAATTGGGGCAACGGGGCAACATTTACGTGCTGCAAGGGGCGTGGGGTGGGGGCGGGGGCGCTGCACATTAAGACAATATGGTCTGGTGAACGGCTACGATCCTGCCTGCCTACAACATTTTGTTTATTTTGTGTTTTAGGCCGTGTGAATTTCCAAAGGCTCAGGGCTAAAGAACCTAAAAAGAGCAACTGTCGAAATTCCAAGAGGGGTCTGCGCCTGGAAACGCTCTAGGGCTTAGCCGGGGGTCCAAGGGGGTACGGCTCTCGCGCTCTCTCGATTAGCGTCGTCTGCTGCCGCCGCTGAGCAAATGGTGGGCGTATCGCGGCATTTATTACAGCCAATGTTACAATTTGTGGCTTTCGGATTTATGCGTTTATTCAGGCAGCGCCCCGAAATGCCAGACAGCTTATGAGTGGCCAGCGGTTGCCGGGGCATGTGGCAGGGATTGGGGCAGGGGCTACAGTAGTCTGTTCTACCGACTAACCGTTCGCTAAGCTACCGAAAGCGCGGACTCGACCGTCGCCGTCGCCGCTGCCGCTGCCGCTGCCGCTGCCGCCTGCTGTCTGATTGATTTCTGGGAATCGGACGCACATCGCCACACAGTGCCACACAGCAAAATATTTAGAGTTCGTTCACAACAAAGTTATGATTAAATGTGTTTGGGTGGATCAACAACAGCAACAACAATAAAGAACAATTTTGTTGAGCTATGCGCGGTGGCAAGTGTTATCATTATTGTGGTCAGCTCTATTATTAATTAGCAGCGAACTGGGAATTGGTTTGACTCAGCTCTAGCAATGCCAGTGATCGGTGTGAGTAATGGGTGGGAACTTGATAGCTTTGAATCGATTGTCGAGTACCATCTAGGGATGGCCCACATCAGTTGAGATGTGCTTATAGCTGCAGACATGTATGTGTTCAGCGAGAAAGTAGATGTAATGATATTAATGCGACTGAGTTGTCCGAGGTCATCTTCTTTGAAACCTAGAGCTCTTGTCCAAGCCTAACCGACGATCCTTCTGCCGTGGATCATTATGATCTTGCAGCGTTTGACAACTTGTTTCTTTTACGACTTCAAGTCGCTATCTTAGCTCGGATATCCAGTCGATCTTAGCGATCCTCTGGTTCGCCTATGTATAGCGGGGTAGCTATACGACTTACCAGGAACAAGGATAGGTATTCCTACTCGCCATGCTAACGTTAAACATAATCATAATCATAATGTGAATGGAATTCGGAAACTCATTAAAGAAAAACATATTCCCTACCCCATTACAGAAAATCTACTATAAATAACTACTTCAGCTACCTGGCTTACCCCGTCCACAACATAGAAAGGACTGTCAGAATAATAATAATTGTTTAATTCATAAACTAATATTGATTACAATAGATAGATATTGACAAGCATAGATAATATATGCAAAGCGATTACGTTCATTTGTATATCTCACGGAAACTATTAAATGAATTTGATGTGGCAGCAATTAGTAACGAACATTTCTAATTTTAATCAATATAATCCGATGTCTATCGACACAGCTTGTTATCAATGGAATCATTTATCACTTATTAATCAATTTCATATGTGGCATTAGGTCTAATGAGTTTTTTTATAGCAACCGCCTTTTATCTAGATTAAACATTGCTTATCCAGAGTACACTTCAATATTTATATTGATTCGATATTCCCTGAGTTGCGGAAACTAAAAAAAGACTAGTTTCAGCTCATGTTTATCTTTTCATTCCTCTAACATCTGAATCTCAACTGATCAGCTAGATTTGACCCAGTTGAAAGAGAATTCGATTAGTCATGCGGCTTTATGAAAATTTCCATAATTAAATGGACAAATCAATGTGGCTAATTAGGCTGGCTGGCAGGCAGGCAGTCGGGCCACGTCCCAAGCTCCCAGGCAGACGGTAGCCGTTGTCAGGCTGGATGATCAGATAATGTTCCAAAGGCTGCAATTAAAATGCGATCAGCAGGCGACAACAAGCTGCGATCCAATGCTGACTAAGAAGCCAGCTGACTAACTTAACCGAAATTACCATAAAGCCCAGGCAAATGGTCAACAGCTTGAGAGTTTACGAGCTCAATTGACACACATTTCATAGATCGCCCCATAGAGCGGGAAGAGTTCGCTTCTGCTGAGGCGTTCAGGCCTAATCGATTATAAATGTGCCTACCTATGTGCGATTAAAATAAATTGCAAAAGACCAGCGCTGCGCTTAAGTTTCATAATTAATTCAACAGCCCCACCAACATCAGCAGCAACAACAACAACAACAACATTGACCACAAGAGTAGCCCCAGGTCTACATTGTGATTCACTAACCGGCCCCCAGTTTGCTCCCGCTGCCCGTTAACCAGACGCTTCGCCTGCTTGTCAACTCTTGTCGCCCATATAAAAAACAAGTATAAGCGCTGTAGTCTCCAATAACCGACTGCCTAATACTCGTTCAAATAGATTTTTCGACCTGCAAGGCTTCTTGTCAGAATCAGCTTGTAAAAGATTGAAGCATGGACATTTCGAGCCAAATATACTCTCCTCATTTAACGAACGGGCATGAAGAGGTGGCAACATAAACCTTATCTTAGTCAAATATACTCTCTTCACTTCACCCTGAGCGGGCATAACGAGGCAGCAACTGTGGCTCGTTTCATAAACTCTTGTCAAGCTATCGCCAGCTGCTCGTCCGCAGCCACATCCACAGCCATATCCACAGCCACAGCCACAGCCACATCCATATGCACGTCCAGCGCGTTGTCGTAAAGTCGCTGGCAACACCTAGAAAGCAAGCAGCTCGCTGCTTATGAGTGTATTTTCGAAAAGGTGTCAGGAAACAACTTGTCGGAATGCATCTAACAAGGAATTCGATTTTGCCAGGCGTTCCAGTTGCTCTGTTCGGTTGGTCACTCTGTCGGTCAGTTGAGTTCGTCGTCGTCCGCCTCTCTGTCCATCCGCCCGTCGGGCTAATGGCACGTTGCATGTTTTACCACGCTTGATGACATGAATGGGCGCGGGCCCCAGACAACAATCCACACAATCCCCACAATCCAGACATGCAGCTCCATTTTGCTTCCCTGTTGGCTCGCTCTCGCTCTTTCGCTCTCTTTCTCTCTCTCTCAATCTCTCTTTGTCGCTCTCCCTCGAGTCGTTCGGCTTCTCAGCTCGTTTATCGCTTGAATCATGCGTGTGCTCGGTTCAGCTGAAAGCTATTGCTATACCAAGCAAATATTGTGCGATATTAATAATTAATTAGACTAATTAATATGATGTAATTATGAGA